TACATTTGTCAACATACATGTATTAAGTTCCTACTACAAGCCAGGTTCTGTTTAGGGCAGGGAGGTCAGTGGATCTCAGTCCTTAAGGAGTTTAGTCTGTTCAGGGAGCAAGTAGGAGGAAGATGACACGGCATTGTGGTCAGAGCACGAGGTGTCACGGGAGCACAGAGGACGGGCACCTGCATTGGGGATGAGTGTTGCAAAGCTAAGCCAGTGCTCTTAAATCTCGGAGGAAGAGAGATACCAAATTGGAAGTGCGGAATTCTCACATTCAAGTGGAAAGACAAGTGCCGAGAGATTAAATACATTTCCCAAGGTCAAGCATAGAAGCATCTGAATAGCTAAGTACTCAATCTTGCCTTAGCAACACGCATCCTTCATAAACACCAGTGCCCTTAGGTACAGAGATGCCCCTCAATTAGACTGGGGGATGAAGAGGGCACATTTCTTTCTCTATCTCCCTCCCTCCCTCTCTTCCTTTCTCTTCTCCGTGTTTGTTGCCATAACCCAGTGGCCTCCTAAGGCAGGTTTTCATAGTATTTGTCATGTGGGAATCTTCAAGGCCACTGGGAAAATGGATGGAGGAGGGGAATGGGGTGGGGGGTCACTTCCATTCAGTAGTGGGAAAAGCCTAGACTTGAAGTTTATTCAGAATCTTCTGTTTGACGGAGTCTCGGCCATATTTCCTCAGTCAGGAAACTGAGCGCATTGCATTCGCTTTTCCTCAAAGCTGACTTCCTGGACTCATGCTCTGTGGCACTGCAGGAGGCAATCCGCAGGGGAGGAAGAGCCCCGAAAATGCCTGGCTCTGTTTGTGTACATGTGTGTGTCTGTGTCTATGTATATATGTGTGTCTGCATGTGTGTCTCTGTATGTATATCTCTATGTTTGTGTCTATGTATACATGTGTATCTGTATGTGTGTCTTTGTATGTCTATCTCTGTGTGTCTGTATATGTGTCTTTGTGTATGTCTGAGTGTCTGTGTGTCTATATGTGTCTACACGTGTGTTGGTGTGTATCTATGTATGCATGTGTGTCTGTAGTATGTATCTATATATATTTGTGTGTGTGTGTGTGTCTGTATGTGTGCTTCAGTGTGTATGTTTGTGTATGTGTGTATGTCTGTATGTATGTCTGACTCTGGAGGAAATGGTTCCATTTTTTCACCTGAGGATTTCTTTCCTCACTGGGAAACGCAGCGAGTCTAACTCCCTATCTGCTTCAGGAAAGCCGTGCTGCTCTAATGAGACCAGCTGAAGGCCCTTCTTGGGACGGAAACACACACAGGGCCTGAGAGACTGATGAGAACAGCGCGGCAGACGGCGCACAGACATGCCACCTTCTGAGGAAGCTCAAGGCTAACACAGTGGCAGGAAGAGAACCAGCTGGCATTTCCCAGGGAGCAACTGAACTGGCAACAAGCCCACTGTGTGCAACAGACCGAACAGAGCGATGCCCATGTACTCTGTGACCCCCTGGGAGGCTAGCCATCAGCAGCGAGTGCACCCTGAGTGCTCCTGGCAATGCCCGAGGCGCAACACTCCTCACAGCTCCCCTCACGGTGCCTCTGACCACAGCTGCGCTTCACTGCTGCTTACCCTTCCCTCTTATCTCACACTTAGTCTTCACAGGACTGCCTATTTATAGTGCAACTTTTAGTGGAGCTGTCAACTTCCCAGGTAGCGGATGTATGGGTTACAGCAGGAAAACAAGGCCTCGCTTCATGGCAACTTGAAGTATTTATTTTCCATAGATCTGAGCAGGATTCCTCCTGGCCCAGCACTGTGAGGCCATTAGGGGCAGAGTAAGCCTCTGGATGACCTCGAACTGCATCTATTGAAAATGTTCAGGTTGATCAATGTTGACATGGTTTTATGTCCAAGAAACTATCACCAAAAGCAAGAGAATACTTCCATCAACCCCTAAAGTTTCCTTGTGGCTCTTTAACTCTTCCTCTTTCTCCTCTCCCCCCTCCCCCACCACACATACCACCACCTGCCTTCTGTTACTATAGATTAGTTTGCACCTGAAATATTATATAAGTGAAATGCTATACACACGTTCCTTTTCGCCTTGCTCCTGGTGCCCGCCTTAATTATTTTGAGGTTACTCCATGTTGTTGTACGGGTTAGTGCTGAGTAGTATTCCATTATGCAGATATGCCACAATTTGTATATCCATCACTTCCTGATATACATTGGGGTTGTTTCCAGTTTTTGACGTTAAGAAAAAAAAAATACAATAACCATTTGTGGAAGAGTCTGTGTAGACATATATTATAGTTTATCTTGGGTAAACCCCTGAGGGTGGAATGGCTAGATCATCTGATAAATGGATGTCTAATTTTTTAATGAACCTCTGAACTCTTCTCCAAAGTGGATGAACCGTTTCGCTCTCACCAGCAGTACATGAAAGCTGCCGATTCGTCCACACATTTGCTTTTCTTGATTCGGGCACTCCAGTGGGTAAGTAGTGGTCGCTTATAATTTGTACTGCCCAGATGAAGAATAATGTTGAGCATTTTCTCGGGTGCTTATTTGCCATTCATTTATCTCTTGTCTTGTGAACTGTCTGTAATAATCATTTACCAGTCTTTTTATTAGGTTCTTTGTCTTCTTTTTAAGCTGTTCCTTATACATCCTGGATACAAGTCCTTTGTCTGATACGTGGGTGCTGGCTATGCTGTTCGGTCATTTTCCTAATGGCCTCTGGGAAAAACAAAGCCTTTCATTTTGATGAAGTTCAATTCTTATGATTCATACGTTTGGAACTGGATTCAACAAACCTTTGGTCAACCCAAGGTTACAAAGCCTTTCTCCTTTCTTTTCTTTTAGAAATTTTAGACTTTTAGGTTTTACTTTGATCTTTAAGACCCATCTTGAGTTAATTCGGATATAAGGGTGGATATCCACCTTGTCCATATGGTTACCCAGGTCCAACTGCTCCGGCACCCCTCCCTGTAGAGCTTTCTCTGTCCTTCACTGAGCTGCCCTGGCACCTGAGTTGGAAACCGGTCGGCCAGATATGTACAGACCTATTTCTGGGCTCTCTCTGCCTTAACACTCTCAGCCAATAATAGCCGGCTTCCCTCAGTGCTCAGCTCTCTTCTGCTTGGTAGCTGGTAGGTCCAAGCTTGTCTCGAAGATGAATAAAGAGGTCAGTCTTGCTTAAGTGCCGGGATTATTCTGTTGGCAGTAACAAGGGTGGAACGCCACTGACAGTCTGACCAGGTTTCCCCCTTTTGGTGCACGGGGCTGGGAGAGGTTGGCTGGGGATGTGGAGGACCCTGACTGGGTGTGATTGTTCTGTGTGTGTGTGCTTAAAGTACTTGTCAGCACAGGTCCTGGATTAAATTCAGAATTATGCTTGAGAGCGTGTCACACTGGAAGACGAATCTCTCTGTTGCTGATGGTGCACCGGAATTTAGAAGTTATTACTCAAAGGAGCTTACAGCATTGCCGACTCTGAGCTGAGTCTGTGCAGGCATATATTTTAGTTTCTCTTGGGTAAACCCCTGAGGGTGGAATGGCTAGATCATCTGATAAATGGATGTTTAGCTTTTTAATGAACAGCGTCCCTGAAGTCACTTACCCGGGCTGTTTAGTACAGTCTAAGCTTCCAGAACTAAAGGTACCAAAAGGTCCACCAACTTCTCTAGTCCAATAATATCAGCCAACGCTTACCCAGGAGTTATGTGCTAATAAGCACGTTACTTACATCTCCTTATTTTGTTTCCTTACCAATCCTACAAAGAAGGTGCATAAGGCAGAAAAAGGCGGAGCAACCTGCCCCAGTTCTCCAGTTAGGAAGCCAGAGTTGAGATGTGTCCCTGACTTCAGCCTTGTGTCCTTAGCCCACATTGCAATGCTCTGGGCACTGAAGGGACCTCAGAAACTCACTGAGATGTCCGAGAACCAGCTTTTCCATCTGTGATGATAAATAATAGGTAAGATCCTGACCAGTTACTGAAGGCATGGCTCTGTCTCAGTGTGGGGGGCGGGGCAACCTCACCCAGTTGCTTTAACAGCTCTGTGACATGCAGTGCAATGTTCCGTTTCCCTTTCACCTTCCCCACAAACACATGTGCACATACGCACGTAATAAATGACCTCAAAAGGGATTAACATATATTTTTCTAGAGGTAAACTTAAAGGGTTAATATTTGAGGCCTATGTTAGTATGGTGCATGTAGCTGAGTGCAAATTAAATCACATGAGAGGAGACCTTACTTTTGCATTTAAATCCCTATATACCTTGTCCAGGGTGAGGCAAAAGTAAGTTTACAGTTGTCAAGGCATGAAACACAGAGTATATTCTAGTGTTATTATTATTTATTAATTATTGGCTTATTGTCCATACGAACAAATATAAACCTACTCTTGCCCTAACCCTGAATAGGAAACCATGGCAACAGCAGCATCTCCATTTCCTGGTTCATAAATCAGCTGCCTTACATAAACACTGTGAAAATATTTCTTTTATTTTGTAAACATATTTCTTTTCTCAGCATTTGTAAGGAGAAAGGGGAAGAAGAATCAGAGTGCAGGTGACACTTCTCACCCTGAGAACAAAGCAGTCAAAGACACACTTCAGTATGACATCGTGCCCAGAAAACTTAAACAGATTCACCCATCAAGTTGCAAAGGAAAAAAATAATTCTTATTACAACAGTTGTTAAGTGGATGGAGAATAATAGATGTCAACAACAAACTGGCTCACTCTGCTACTAATGTCAGCCCATTTCTCTTTACCTAAAAGACATCTCATTTTAAAAAGAGTCAAAAATCTATGGCGATGGACACAGACCCCAGGATAGGCTCAATTATGTTAAGTCTTTTCATCTTGCCCAGTGCTTTTCTCCACTAAGGAATTCACACTCTGCAATGAGCTCTTCAGGGCTCCCAACATGCTGTGCCCACTCTCTCCACTGCCTGGCTTCCCTGTAAACCCGTGAAGAGGGGGCGCAGGAGGGAGTGATGGGAAAGAAGAAGGATCTTACCACTTCTGGGAGCAGCTTAATTGAGAGGTCGTGGATGGCTTTGATCACTATACACATGGACGACAGAAGGAAGATCACCCCCAAGATGACACAGGCTCTGCAAAGAAACAAAACATGGAGACACTTAACTGGGAGGACTCCACCTGCCCATTTACACAATGGCAGTGACAATGACCCAACCTAAGGCACTGGGACCCAGCCATGATTTTCCACATTCCCACTAGAACCACCCACAGTCTCAGAATTGATAGGGAATCATTTCTAAGAAAATGATTCAGAATTTTATCACCAAAGTCAACCCTATGGAGAAGAGATTCCGACATCCTACATCATCCCACAGATTCCTATGAATGCTGGCATGGAAGAATCTCCAAGGCCATGAAATCCACACCACTCACCTTCCACACCCCACCTGGCAACCCAGTTCATGCCTCCTCCAGCCAGAGAGGGCAGAGTTCAACAGCAAAGGGCGGAGGCTCTAGCATGCGACATCCCAAGCTCTACCATTTAACATGCTGCTTGATCCTGATCAAGCTACTTAACTTCTTTTAACCTCTATTTTTCTCACCTGCTGAAGGGGAATATTTCTACCTGAAGATGGAATCAGATAACGCACAGAGCATCAAAAAGTAAACCACGAATGCTGAGTTAAACACAGGAAAACAAAAGTGCACCTCAGACGTCTCTCTCTGGTGATCAGACACCTTTGAATTACAGAGTATTTATGGCAAATGGAGCAATTTTAGGGAAAGAAATGAGGGGAAATAAGTTAGGATGAGGTCCACTAAGACTCCCAGCACAGGTGAGGAAGGAGGAAGTTAGGGATGAGGCCAAGGGCGGGGTGTGGGAAGGACAGGGAAGTCTATGGGGCTCAGGTTCCTAGGAGCTGTCTCTGGCACCCAGACACAACAACTCACAGGAGAAAGAAAGATGGGATTTGAAAGTAAGTATGAGGAAATGATAGAAATAAGGGTCAAAATGCCAAATTAAAATGAAAAGACAGAGGAGAGAGAAAAATGCAAGAATGACCAAGGTTAGCGCTAGATGTCCCACCCTGATGTCTCCTGGCTCTGGCAGCCTCCTCAGCCCTCTTCCTTCACTAGTAAATGAGATCATCTTTTATTATCCACCTTGGATTTCCTTCTCTAAGCAATGGCCCAAAGTTTCCCACATAACACTGAAGTGGCACCTATTTAGAATTCTAACAAATAGAATTCTAATAAACATGTTCCTAGACCTGGACAGCAGGTCAATACACTGCTTGGCTTCTCCTCGGCAGGCTTCTCATCCGCACTCCAGCTGTAGGTTTTATTCTTCCAATGACACAGATGGAAAGAAGGCCTCATTGCTGGCCGGGGTGAACCACAAGAGAGCATGAGATGTAGAAAAGGTAATGACTGGGCTGGGTGGGGTCTTGGACAGACTGGCCCAGAATGAGTGGGTGAAGGGGCCTCAGTGGAGAGGAGAGCAGTACAAGGGACGAGGTGGGCCTGCCGAAGGCCCTTTAGTAAGGAGATACTGGGACAAGACCAGGGATCCTCAGGGGTCGGTGGATCACTGCTCTCCAGGCACTGGCCCCTGAGTCCCAGCTGTGCCCCTGGGGAAGACAGTGATGGGCCAGCTGTGCCCAACACTCAACATGACCATTTCTACCCACAAGCAAATGGGACCCTGAGAGGTTCCATTACAGGACAGGAGCCTACAGTCAGGGTAGGCTTCCAAGATAAGGTTTGTGATGTGGAGTTTTTCACTCCATTCAAAAGACCCCCGAGTGACTAGCAGAGACTGATCCCCCCTCTCCAATAAATCCAACCACCAACTCGGTGCTTCTCAACCCCGGCGGCACCCTAAACTCACCAAGGGCTTTTCCTGACAGTTGCCCAGAGACTGCCCCAGTTCAATTTTGTCAGAATCTTGGGGAGGGAGAGGGTGAGATTTGTTTGAAAGCTTTCCAAGCAAGTTCCCTGTGCACCAGGGCTGAGGGTCCCTGCCCGGGGACAGGTGAGGCCCTGTCCTTAGGGAGCTTCCATGTGGGAAAAAAGCCAGGGAGGGAGCGGCCATGCCCACGGGTGAGCAAAGAAAAGGCCCTAATGGCCCCACCAGACCTGCCGTGTTTCTGTGTGCGGAGCAGCTTTCTCCCCAGGATGGGGTAGGGCAGCCCCCACTTGGGTGCCAGACCTTCTACAGTCTGTCCCAACTCCCCTGAGAAGCGTCCATCACACACCCCTTGGGTGGAGAAGTGGGGGGAGAGGAACAAAGGTCTGAGCTTCCTGCCGAGAGGACACGGCGATGCCACAGGAATCTGTCTCTCCGGTCACTGCAGGCAGTTCCATAACATGCTAAGTGGGATTGCATTTTGTTCACATGACTTAAGGAGACATGTACTGAGAGTGCAATGGTCTCCTTAAATAATATCTTGCTTATATATTTTTAATCAAAATTACATTGCAAATCCCTTAAAGGCAGGAAGCCTGTCTTCAGATCAGTGTCTACAGCAGCAGGCAGCAGTGCGTGTGCACCCGAGAGCTGAGGTCACCGTTCACTGATGAAGTCATTCCTAGTGGCGTGCACAGCTCCCCCCACTTATGGCTTCTCAATACTGCAGGAGGTGGGCGGGGAGGGGGGGGGGGAGAAAACACTAAGTCAGACGGTTTGCTTCTGGAACAGCCCACATTGTCAACCAACTCTGAAGTGTAATGGACATAAAAAGAAATGATGATTTGGTTCATTAAGGTTGAATTATACAAAACTGCCATCATATTTTCTTCATGAATATACCCATGAATAGGCCAAGAAATGTTTTTAAAACCTATTTCCATCTTTTTTTTAAATGTGGTTCAAATTAAAACCCGCAGCCACCCTCCCTCCCCCCAGCTGGGAGCTGGAGTGCGGCAGCCCCGCAGCCTGAAGCAGCTATTATTAGCAGAGGGCATGAGGCTATTTTCTGACATTTTATTAATAATGTATTGTTTACACAGCAACTTTCTCCCCAGGCACCCAAGCTCCATACGCCACTCAATAATGCTCCAGAGGCCCCTCCCCAGGTGGGGTTTTGTCTTTCTGCTGTTTCATAGACTGGGAGGGAGAGGTATGTTTCAACACAAGTAAGTAATCAAGTGGGGGAGTCAAGGACTAGCAAGCTGCCCAAGGTCACCCAAGGAGAATGGCGTCAACGCAGATAGAGAAGTCAGGTCTCCTGCCCCCCCCCCCGCCCCCCATGGCCATGCCTTGTTGATCACCAGCCCATGGGAGGCTCTGGACACCCACTTCACATCCTCACACCCCTGGCGACCCCGGACTGCCTGGTCTCCAGGCTGCAGCAGAGACTTGGGTCAGGAGCAAACACCACTGCTTCCTGGTTCAGGGGCTCAGGGGCTCAGGGGTTGGGGGGTTGGGGGAGCGGCGAGGTAACACTCCACCAGCACACCTGGCCTTCACCGGGAGGAGCCCGGTCAGCGGAATGAGCACAGCCTCCTTCTCTCTCCTGCCCAAACCCCAGCGGAGGAAAACTGAAGTCAGAAAGAGGTAAATAAACTACTGTAATTCAAGATAATCTCCAGTCAATCCAGACTGAAGCCGAATTTAAATTCCCACAGGACCAGTGGCTGCCAAAGTGTAGGCCACAGGTCAGCAGCATCAGCGTCACCTGGGAACTCGTTAGAAGAGCAAATTCTGGAATCCACCCCAACCCCTTGAGCCAGAAACTCTGGAAAGTGACCTGGGTTTTACTGGGTTTTACTAAGCCCTTCAGGTGATCCTGAAGGACACTCAAGTCTGAGTCTGTATTAGTGTTACCACTGACACACTGATTGGCTGAACAGCTAGTAAAGTCTACAGAAATGGTTAAAGCCATTGGCACCCCTGCAAAGACCGCAAATTGCTCTGTGCAGCATGACAAACCTCTGGATAATCTTGCAAGTAAGCATTCATTTTTGCCTCTGAAATTCTAAGAGCAAAACCTATGGACAGATACTCTCAGGTCCAAAATGATGTAAGGTTATGAACTGTGGGTATAAAGGCCTGTGGTTCACATCAGTAAAGCCTGAGTCTTATACCAAATCTGATTTATTTCCCAGAGAGAAACTACTTCTAATCACACCAGACCTAAAACACAGTAGTTGGGCAGTTAACCAATGTAGTCTACAGCCTAAATTGTAAATGTTTTACTTATCATCTTTCACCCTGGTGTGCAAAGCATTTGTAATCCAGAACACTGTCAAGTGTAAATAATGAAAAATAAAAGCCAAATGGTAAGTATACACAGTACTTAGGATGCACAATTTCTAATGCTGTTTTATCCCAGTTGGGTCCTGCTTCACTCCATGTGCTCTGCCATCTACACTAATAAAAGAAAAAGATGCAAATTGGCTGTACCTTCGGGACACCTACCAGCCAATCAGGAGTGAATATGCAAATGAACCCAACAAAGATGGTGTGTTAGTTTGCATACACAGGCCATGAGCAGTGGGTGCGGGGGACAGGGACGGAGACATGCAGGGATTACGCACCGCCTCAGCCACTCCAAGCCTCTGGGTATTGTAAGAAATCACAAGTGCCTTCGTAAGTCTGGAGTGAAGGTTCCAGGAAGCTGAGGAGAAAGGTGAGCAAGAACCAATCCTGAAGCACCCCATGTGCTAAGTTGTAAAACTTTCTTAGGAGAACCATGCAGAGACCCTGATGACTTTGACAATGATGCAGTAAGATGATTAAATTTGTATTTCAACAGCTGACTCAGGCAATAATTGTCATGAACATCTAGGCCTAACCTGCATCCACTCCCCCTTTCACTGATAATGAGCCTTGATTCAATTACCGTATTTTCCTGCGTATAAGACGACTTTTGAAACGAAAAAAAAACCTGCTCAGATTGGCCAGAGTCAGAGAGGCAGTCTATTAAAAAAAGAACTGGTGTTGCCTCAGAAGTGGGGGGTAGTCTTATACAGCGAATATAGGCCTAAACCTATGTTTTAACTGTAAAATTAGGGGGGTCATCTTATACACCGGAAAATACGGTATCAGCCTTGATTCAGCTTTCATGCCTCACTTGGGCTGATGGGATATTCTTCCCCTGGACTTTGAATCCAAGATGAGTGATAA